AGGCTGCAGGCCTACTGCGGGGGCTGACATGCTGTTATATTCCCAAGGGGAATTACATGAAATTGCAGTCCTTTACCACCTTCCGCCCGCCATATAGGAAAATGACGGGCGCAAGGTGGTTCTCTCATTCTGGGAGGATGTCATATGAAGTCCTACCACTCTAACCGCGCGTGCCTGGAGGTGCGCAGCGTGGCAATCAGTGGTCTGCACTGTGTCCCTGGGACACAGCAGATCAGCAGAAAGAGCGGATGACTTCGGCTCTGTCATGTGATCAGCTGTGTTCAATCACAGCTGATCGCATGTAAATAAGGAAATGCCGGTTATCGGCATTTCTCTCCTCACGAGCTGTCACGCTGACAGAGGAGAGGAGAGTCGGTAATCGGCATTCCTTAGAGGGGACATCTACACTGATCATCAGGGCACTGATGATCAGTGTGCCCTGATATTCAGTGTAGCCCCATCAGTGGCACCTGTCAGTGTCCATCAATGCTGCTTTTCATTGCCCATTAATGCCAACTGTTAGTGCCCATCAGTGCATATCAATGCCACATATCCGTGCCTACCAGTGCACATCAATGCCACATATCAGTGCCCATCTGATCTGCCTTTCAGTGCAAGTCAGTGCCACCTATCAGTGCCGCCTTTCAGTGCCATATATGAGTACTGCCTTTCAGTGCCCATCAGCGATGTCCGTGAATACCCATCAGTGCCACCTACCAGTGCCTCCTTATCAGTGCCGCCTATCAGTGTCCATAACTGCAGCCTCATTAACATCAGTGAAGGAGAAAACTTACTCATTTACAAAATTTTATAACAGAAACTAAGAAAAAAACTTTTTTTTTTTTTTAATTTTCAGTTGTTTTTGGTTTGTTTATCAAAAAATAAAAAACCCAGAGGTGATTAAATACCACCAAAAGAAAGCTCTACCTGTCTCAAAAAAATGATAAAAATTTCATATGGGTTCAGTGTTGCATGACCACACAATTGTCATTCAAAGTGCGACCGTGCTGAAAGCTGAAAATTGGCCTGGGCAGGAAGGGGGTGAAAATGCCCAGTAGGCTAGTGGTTAAAGTGACACTTAGCACACACTGTTTAATTTACACAATCCCTTCTCTTTCTGTATGGGGATGATGACACTAATTTTTTTACTTAAAAAACCTAATTGATATACAGCTGTCACATGGCCTAGCACTTTCCCAACCTGTCTACGGGAAATGATGACAGGAGGAGTCCTCTGCTGCTGGTCACATGTTCAAAAAAAAAAAAAAAAAGCCTTTGGGATACAGAGTAAAAATAAATATCAATATACTTTTTTAAATCATCATACAAATATGTATTTGAAATCAGATATTATTATTATTTTTGGCAATAACATGGTGTTGGCGGACTTCTGCCAGTCACAGGCTATGTCATGTCCCTCCAGCCTGTGTCTTAGAATAATGGGGTGAAGCGTCCGCCAATCAAGATGTAATATCCTGCCCGCATTGTGTTTAGCTGGTTAGTGGGCATGGAGAAGGAGGGAGAGGGCTGTCATTTACTACTGTGTGTACGTCCACATGTGTGACTCTATAGTCACGTGGGCTGCTCAGATGTGATATGAAGGAAATGCTCATAATAGAAACTCACTGGAAACTGGACATGTGCAGTAGCTGCCAACACTGCTCTGAATAATCCACAACTGCAGTGGAGACATGGACAGAATGGGGAGGTAGAGAGCAGCAGGATCAACCAGGTTTTTTGCAGAGTACAGAAAACAAATTCCATAGTGAATGATTTATGAACAGCATGTAATACAGCATTATTCATAGTTTTTAATGATGTGGGTTTAGTGACGCTTACAATTCCCACTGCGGTCACACTACACACCTAGCTGAAAGGCTGTGGGCTTCCAGGTATCGGGAGTTAGGTTAACTTGGATACGCAGCTACACTGTCAGGCAGACTGACCCTTCTTCTCTTCAACCACTTTCAGCCCCATTCCTTCCTGTGTCCAGTCTTTATCACTGGTGGCCTATACCTCGTGGGGTGAGTAAAGAAGAGACAAGTTCTTCCATTTTCCAATGCTTTAATGGAACAAAATGGAAGGCATAACAGTCCATCAGTTGCAGAACCGCATTGCCCATCTTCTGCCCATTCAACATAGTATGCATTTACAAAGTCCTTGTTCTCCTTATGCTTAGCCCTCTTGGAAATAAGATTCCTGTGGTGGTCCCCTCTGGGTACGACTTATACCTGGAGCTGCTACAAGGTGTTTTTGAAGACCCTAGGGTTTCCCAAAGGGTTTAGAACAAGTCTACTAAAGTTGTTGCTGGTAGTACCCTCTTTCTACTTCAACATCACCACTAACCTCCAGTCAGCTCTTTAAAGAACCCCAGTGAGAAAACAGGCAACTGCAACTCACCAATAGTAATGGGGAGATGCAGCCAGGACAAACTCCCTATTTACCTACCTAACACCCCTTTACAAACAGGCCTCCCTCTTTGCATATATATACTGTATACAAGTCATATAGTGAAGTCTGTGGATACCTGACTATCATACCTATATGAGCTTTGTGATCTTTCCAAAACCATGGGCTTTTGTGGCTATAACCGCCTCCACTCTTCTGGGAAGGCTTTCCGCATTTGGAAAGTGTCTGTGGCAATTTGTGCCTATTTGTAAAGGCAGGTTGGATAAAGTTCTACTTTATCCTAAAGTATTTAATGGGGTTGGGCTCTGTACAGAACACTCAAGTTCCTCCAGACCAAACTGGTCAAACCATGTCTTTACGAACCTGGCTTTATACACAGGGACACAATCATGTTGAACCAGAAAAGGGTCTTCACTAGACCCGGATGAATGCTATGTTGTTCAATGAACAGATGTCTAGCATTCTTCATGACTCTCATCCGAGATTCCTTAAGGTTTGGGAACCTTGGATACGTTATTCCTTGCCATCCCTGCCTCCTACTAGTTATGGCCTCCTATAGTCGCTGCCTATGCTAGCCCAGGATCCGTGATCCTTCTAATTTCCCTTCTTTCATGTTTCCTTTCTGATTCCCTTTTGTTTTATTTTCTTTTCTTCTAACATTTTTTCTTTTCTCTTTCTTTTTCCGATATGTTGGATTACTGCTGCTATTTGGTTCGGTTTTTTGCCGTCTCTTCTTGATGTCATTGGACATTTCGTTATTTGACTAATACAAGTCAGCAGGATGTCTCTGTGTTATTATTCTGCTCTGCCCCTGTGAGGGTGTATTTTGAGCTTGTTATATTCTTAAAAAAAAAACTTTCTTAATAAAAATATTGAAACAGAAAAGGGTCTTCACCAAACTGTTGAAAGAAAGCAATGGTCTACAATGTCTTTTGGATAGGGTTGAGCTCTGTGCAGGCCATTCTAGTTTCCCCACACAAAACTGGTCAAAACATGTCATCATGGAGCTGATTTTGTACACGGACAGAGTCATGCTGGAACAGAAAAGTGCCTTCACCAAACTTTTACCACAAGGTTGGAAGAGCACAATTGTCTATAATGTCTTCATATGCTGTAGTACTGTACACTTTACAGGAACTTAAATATACCGTATTTTTCGCTCCAAAAGACGCACTTTTTTCCCCCAAAAAAAGGGGGGAAAATGTCAGTGCGTCTTATGGAGCGAATATGGAGCGGCCGGTCCGGTATTTCCGCCGCTGCCACCATGTCAGAATACCGGGCCGGCCGCTCAGCTCTTCTCTCCTGCAGGACCTCACCTGTTCCTCTGTCCAGCGCTGTAGTCTTCCCGTGCTGGCTTCTGTGACAGCCGGGTGCCCACTGCGCATGTGCGAGAAGCGCTGCGCTTTGTGAATGGTCCGGCGACTTCTGGGACACATGACAGGTCCCAGAAGGCACCGGGCCATTCACAAAGCGCAGCGCTTCTCGCATATGCGCAGTGGGCACCCGGCTGTCACAGAAGCCGGCGCGGGAAGAAGCCAGCGTGCCCACACTAAAGAGAGGACAACTTCAGGTACCCGCTCCCCCTCCCTCCCCAAAGGTCCGCAGTCTCTTGGTCATCCCCTGTACTGTCTGCAGTCTCTTGGTCATCCCCTGTACTGTCTGCAGTCTCTTGGTCATCCCCTGTACTGTCTGCAGTCTCTTGGTCATCCCCTGTACTGTCTGCAGTCTCTGGTCATCCCCTGTACTGTCTGCAGTCTCTGGTCATCCCCTGTACTGTCTGCAGTCTCTGGTCATCCCCTGTACTGTCTGCAGTCTCTGGTCATCCCCTGTACTGTCTGCAGTCTCTGGTCATCCCCTGTACCGTCTGCAGTCTCTGGTCATCCCCTGTACCGTCTGCAGTCTCTGGTCATCTGTACTATGTCCGCAGTCCCTGGAATTTTCCCTGTACTATGTTCACAGTCTCTGGTCATCTGTACTATGTCCGCAGTCTCTGGTCATTTCCTGTACTGTGTCCGCAGTCTCTGGTCATTCCCTGTACTGTGTCCGCAGACTCTAGTCATCTCCTGTACTGTGTCTGCAGTCTCTGGTCATCCCCTGTACTGTCTGCAGTCTCTGGTCATCCCCTGTACTGTCTGCGGTCTCTGGTCATCTGTACTATGTCCGCAGTCGCTGGCATTTTCCCTGTAGTATGTTCGCAGTCCCTGGTCATCTGTACTATGTTCACAGTCTCTGGTCATCTGTACTATGTCCGCAGTCTCTGGTCATTCCCTGTACTACAGTATGTCCGCAGACTCTGGTCATCCCCTGTACTGTGTCCGCAGTCTCTGGTCATCCCTGTACTGTGTCCGCAGTCTCTGGTCATCCCCTGTACTGTGTCCGCAGTCTCTGGTCATCCCCTGTACTATGTCTGCAGTCCATTGGTTCAGAATATTTTTTTTTCTTGTTTTTCACCACTTAAACCTAGGCGCGTCTTATGGAGCGCAAAATATGGTGTATATATATATAATATATATATATATACACACACACACACACACACACGAATTACCTTCTTTTTACTTTTTTTCACTTATTTTTTTCTTTAATTTCAGGTTAAAGTGCTTCAAGCCACGGGTTTGCCGCAGCACCTCACCAACTTTGTATTCTGCCACTATACTTTCTACGGCCAGCCAGAGCCAATAAATGTGGCCTGAGGTGGACCCAAGTACATCCTCGCCTGTCAGCAAGGAGCCCCAGTGCATGGTTGTCTTCGATCACTGCAAGGTGTGTACAGGAACAGCTCCCCTGATATTGCCTATCTATTTGTTCACATTAAGTCTCCATGCACACTAGCGTTTTTTTTCTACTTCTAGAAGCTAAACAGTGTTATCCTATGTGTATACAGTCATGGCCGAAATTGTTGGCACCCTTGATATTTCTCCAGGAAATCATGTATTTCTCACGAAACGTATTGCATTAACACATGTTTTGCTATACACATGTTTATTCCCTTTTGTGTGTATTGGGACAAAACAAAAAAAGGGAGGAAAGAAAGCAAATTCGACATAATGTCACACAAACCTCCAAAAATGGGCTGGACAAAAGTATTGGCACCCTTTCACAACTGCGGATAAAATAAGAATGTTACAAGCATGTGATGCTCCTGTAAACTCACCTGGGGCAAGTAACAGGTGTGGGCAATATAGAAATCACACCTGAAAGCAGATAAAAAGGAGAGACGTTCACTTAACCTTTGCATTGTGTGTCTGTCTGTGCCACACTAAGCATGGACAACAGAAAGAGGAGACGAGAACTGTCTGAGGACCTGAGAACCAAAATTGTGGCAAAATATCAACAATCTCAAGGTTACAAGTCCATCTCCAGAGAACTAGATTTGCCTTTGTCCACAGTGCGCAACATTATCAAGAAGTTTGCAACCCATGGCACTGTAGCTAATCTCCCTGGTCGTGGACGGATGAGGAAAATTGATGAAAGATTGCAACGCAGAATAGTCCGGATGGTGGATAAGCAGCCCCAAACATGTTCCAAAGACATTCAAGCTGTCCTGCAGGCTCAGGGAGCATCAGTGTCAGCGCGAACTATCCGTCGACATTTAAATGAAATGAAACGCTATGGCAGGAGACCCAGGAGGACCCCACTGCTGACACAGAGACATAAAAAAGCAAGACTACAGTTTGCCAAAATGTACTTGAGTAAGCCAAAAGCCTTCTGGGAAAACGTCTTGTGGACAGATGAGACCAAGATAGAGCTTTTCGGTAAAGCACATCATTCTACTGTTTACCGAAAACGGAATGAGGCCTACAAAGAACAAAACACAGTACCTACGGTAAAATATGGTGGAGGTTCAATGATGTTTTGGGGTTGTTTTGCTGCCTCTGGCACTGGGTGCCTTGACTGTGTGCAAGGCATCATGAAATCTGAGGATTACCAAAGGATTTTGGGTCGCACTGTAGGGCCCAGTGTCAGAAAGCTGGGTTTGCGTCCAAGATCCTGGGTCTTCCAGCAGGACAATGACCCCAAACATACGTCAAAAAGCACTCAGAAATGGATGGCAAAGAAGCGCTGGAGAGTTCTGAAGTGGCCAGCAATGAGCCCAGATCTAAATCCCATTGAACACCTGTGGAGAGATCTTAAAATTGCTGTTGGGAAAAGGTGTCCTTCCAATAAGAGAGACCTGGAGCTGTTTGCAAAGGAAGAGTGGTCCAAAATTCCGGGTGAGAGGTGTCAGAAGCTTATTGATGGTTATAGGAAGCGACTGATTTCAGTTATGTTTTCCAAAGGGTGTGCAACCAAATATTAAGTTAAGGGTGCCAATACTTTTGTCCAGCCCATTTTTGGGGTTTTGTGTGACATTATGTCATATTTGCTTTTCTGCCTCTGTTTTATATTTGTTCCAATACATACAAAGGGAATAAACATGTGTATAGCAAAACATGTGTTAATGCAATACCTTTTTTGTGTGAAATACTTGATTTTCAGGAAAAATATCAAGGGTGCCAACAATTTCGGCCATGACTGTATGTACACTACTTTAGGTTATTCGCATTTTATGAGCTTCAGTGTCTAGAAGCAGAAAATTTGTTTTTGGAGTGTTTTTCCAGCAAAAAAAAAAAAAAAAACGCTAAATGCTTCTAACAGCTTTTTTTTCTAGATTTATTTTTTCCTCTACATGTACTGTAAAAACGCTAATAAAATTCTAACACTCCTCACGTATTAAAATGCTACTAAAACTGCTATTACCAGCATTTTTTATCCAGCGTTTTTGAGCTTAAAAAAAAACACTAGTGTGCACGGAGTACCGTGCACAAACAGCTTCTCTGGTATTGCCTATCCATGTGTTCACTATATATGTATTTAATGTACTATAAAACTGTTCAAATTTATTGCGGGGCCACATTTTTCTTTTTATATAGCATGGGAAGGTAACACAATATCAATTAATTACTAAACCCAAATGAAACAACCCCCTGAAGCAAATGTCTGCAGCACAAACATTGTATGAAGAAATGAAAATTAAGAGTCAAAAGTCAGTTTTTGTTTTTTTGTTTTTGTTTTTTTTTTTTTTTTTGTACCTTAATTCCATACACTGCATTAAGGAAAAAAATCCCCAGTAAAAAATGAAACCAGAGTTCACTGGCCTAGCTCATTATCCCCGATAACAATTTATTGAATGAAAGTTGAAATATACTCACAAACAAGAAGTGACAAATCGCATAAGAAATGACAATCACTGGAAACGTGCTCCATATGGCACCAAGAGCCCCGACATAAAAGAAGTGCCATCCAAGGGCCAAAGAAAGGCTGACACGTTTCGAGGGAAATCCTCTTCTTCACAGCCCTCTAAGGAAGGGGGTTTCCCTAAAAAATGTGTCAGCCTTTCTTTGGCCCTTGGATGACACTTCTTTTATGTCAGGGCTCTTGGTGCCATATGGAGCATATTTCCAGTGATTGTCATTTGTTATGCGATTTGTCACTTCTTGTTTGTGTGAGTATATTTCAACTTTCATTCAATAAATTATCTGGGATAATGCCCTAGACCAGTGTGCTCTTGTTCCATTTTTTCCTGCAGTTACTCCTGACTTCCCCTGTCGCACACGGGAGCAGCAAGGCTTGGCTTATCCACTCGAATTTTGCATTTATTTGGGTTCCACCATACCTCCCTTTCTTCAGCCCTCTACAATCATGCGCAGGAGGTTTTGGCTTAAAAAATGCCTGTGCTGAGTCCTGTCACTACTCCAGCGCTGTCCCTGGCTTCAGCATCACTCCCCTCACTGCCTGCTTTAACAAGAGACACTAAGAGCAGCAGAGCCATAGGCTTCTGCTGCTGTCAGTCAACCTCCTGTGGGGTGGGAGCGGGAGTGGGACTTACCGGCACAGTGTGTGTCACCCAGCTTGCTAGGAGGCACCTGGAGGAAGGAGAAGCTGACAGTGCTGGCAGGGACTCCCAGAAGAGACAGGGTCCTTTCTGTGCATTATCGTTGCACAGAGTAGGTAAATATAACCTTTATTTTAAACAAAAAAAAAAAAAAACTATAGCCATTTAGTATCACTTTAAAATGTTACTAAACCCCGGACCCTGCATTCACTACATCTGGTCTCCCACAGTACACACAACATGGAGACTTAGTAAATATAAACTACTTTTCTCCTTAGCACTTAGAGCAGTCTTGGGACTTCTATCAGTGTCCAGCCGAGCAAATGTTAAAGCTTTGTAGGAGGCATTTTCATTTTGCTCTAGGAGGAAGCAGAACCTCTGACTTCGGTCTGGACAGTGCTGATTGGCCCTGTGCTGATCACATGCGCTCTCCCCCAAAAAATATAAAAACCTCTCTAGCACTGCACACCAAACTGAGCATGTGCAGAGTTACTCCACACGATATGTCTTATCAGGAGATAGGAGGGGGACACTGGAAGAAGGGGAGGATCAGAGAAGACAGGATCAAACAGCCTTTTAACACAATGTAGAGGATTAGCCCCTTAAGTTCCCCAGGGAGTATAACAAGCATGCTTTACTGCATATACAGACTGAGTTAACTGTTGTGGGTTTAGTAACACTTTGTTTATTATAAAATGAATAACCCTATACGGTTGTACAACACCCCACAGACCTCCTAGATTGTAAGCTCGAAAGAGTAGGGCCCTCGAACCCCTCGTGTTTTGTTTTGTTACTGTATTGTCTCATGTACGTTCCCCCACTATAATGTACAGCACTGAGCAAACCTTTTGGCGCTATATAAATACTGTATAATAATAATAATAACCCACAGATTACAAACATTATAAATAACCAAAAAAACAACAATTTGTTGCTTTCAGGTTATCGGAATTATGGAGAACCTGACTCTCTAAAATACACTGGAACCAAATTTTCCAGTATTTGGTTCTACTAGATAGACTTTTTTCCTGACAGATGACCTCAAACAATGATTGGCGAGGCGAGTCGTTCTTCTTCTTTTTTTTTTTTTTTTTTTTTTTTTCTTACTTGCCTTAGATACCAACATTCCCCATCTAATTAAAGAGAATCTTCACCCTGGAAAGAAGAAAATTAAAAGTCATAAGCTACAAATATTGTAGCTTCTGATTTTTAATAAAGGCATACTTACATGTGCAGGGATCCAGCATTGTTCTCACCCAGGCCGGTCTGTTGCTGGTCTTTGGGTCCCCGGTGCCTTCATATTTACTGTGGGAGGCCGGCTGTGACAGCTTGAGGCTTCACATCTGGCTTCCTACTGTGCATGCGCAAGCCACACTGTATTTTCCCACAGCCTTTTGGGACCTGTGACATGTCCCAGAAGGCTGAGGGCAAAGAGATGGGTCCAAACTTCGTGATCTGAGTGGAGGTGCGAGCGGGTATCTATCAAATTTAGATACCCACTCACCAAAAAACGTAATGACCCATATGTTGGGGGGCGAGGGGGGACTAAGAGGCGACATTCCGCTTTAAAGACGCTAGGAACCTACCATACACATTCATACTGCCATATCAATTCCCTACCTTAGCCTTTTCTCCACCCCTGCCTCAATACCTCATTACCCTCCCCAAAATAAAATTCACATTTACAATGGTGACGCCCCCAGCCAGTCTGCTCCTTGCACTAAAACACATCTGATTGGCTTCTTGTGTTGCTTCTCCCACCTTCAGTCTGGGATCTGCTATTCAGAGCTACAGAAGGCTGATACCAGGTCAAATTGAAGTACTTGCACTGTTTTCAATTTAAAAAAAGAATACATTTAATGATGTAATAATGAATACAGATCTACATTAATTTGTGTCTTTAATATCTGCTTGGGTGTTTGGCTTTAACATGTAAAGTGTATCTGTAGCCAAAACATATGTATTCATTTTGGGATGGAGTGTGAAAAGGGTTAAAACATGTCAGATATTTCTTCCTGTGTCCCCGCTGGGTAGGTTTGTACTGGTCACCGTTGTCACTGAGGCAGGAAGTGATAGAAAATCCAGTATTTTAGGGTTGTCTCTAAAAAAAAAAAAAAAAGTGCATCTTCTAATGGGTACGCTGTGTTTCAGTGACAACTGTAAGCGGTATTCCTTCCCTACTGTATCCAGCACTAAAAAGAGAGGTTTTCGCTATTCATACACTAAAGCTAATGTTTAGTCTACTGATAGTTTGCCTTTCCTGATTCCTTCCCCCAAGCAAAATCAACATGCTAATGGAAATTTGGTCTAAAACGTTTATTTATTACACACCTTATTTTAGTCTCAGTGATCTCGCCAATGGGCCTCTGTGCTTCTGTATGCAGCATAGGCAGATCATGGCTGATGGGAGGGGCAGGTCACTGTACAAAGCTCTGTGAAAACACCACAGCACTCTGCCTCAGTACTTCTCTTTGAAGTTCTGAGCCCTGATGCAAGCTGTGGGCTGGCTCTTGGGAGGAGTTATGCAAATATAATAATGCCCTGATGGACGGATGTCAGTCTGGAGGAGTAGGCATTCACAAGCAGGCTATATTTGCATGCAGACCATCCTAGGTAATGCCCACATGTGATACTGAGCCTCCATAATTGAAAAAAACGAAATCCGATAAATGAAAGGGACAAGCCAGGGGTAGTCAGCCTCGGAAGAAAAGACCTAGATGATGTTGGGCGCGGTCCAGCCAGGAAATGAGATGAGCTCTGTCTGACTTGCTGCTTCTTTTTGTGAGAAGCTCACAGTGTGCAGTGAAATCAGAGTAAGCCATTTCAGTGCAGGAGGCTGTACAACTGTGAAAGACTGAAGGGAAGGCCAGATTTCATATTAAACATTTATCTGAAGCCTAAACTTTTTTTTTTTTTTTTTTTTTTTTGTATGTATGCTTTTTTTTTTTTTATCCCCAGACAGAGTAGGGCTTGGTTGTAAGTTTTGTTGTCCCGCTGGAAAGCTCCCTTCTTCACTTCCTGCACTGGAGGCACAATAGGACGTTAGAAGGTCTCACTAAAGTGGGACTCAAACATGTTGGCTTTATATAGACCTTGTCAGCTCCTCCTAACCCGGTTTCTGTTTTTCCAAGTAGGAGTTTTCCATTAACATCACAGAAGATTTCTTGGATTATCTGGCTGAAGGGGCATTGGCCATTGAGGTTTATGGACACAAGCAAAATGATCCCCGCAAGAATCCAGCCCTCTGGGATCTGGGAATAATACAGGCCAAAACGCGTACTCTGAGGGACAGGTGAGCTTTGCCGTGCTCTCTGCTCATGCCTATGTATTATAACATTGTTTCTGGAAAACCAGAGCTATAAAAGATACGATCATCCCAGTAGAAAAATGGGAATTGCTATTTCTGACTTATCTTTAAAGACAACCAGTACTGTGGGAGTTGCGTGATCCAGCAAGGTAGTCACTGGTGTTGACTGTAGTCCCCCTGCAATTGATCATTTCCCAATATTGACTTACTATGACTTGTTCTGCACAGTGTTAATGTGTTGAGGCCGCCATCTTGGTTTTGCTCATACCAGAGCTGCTCCCTTATGACTGGTGGGGTAATGATGGAGGTGAAGATAGTACAGTTACATAGTCTGGATGAAAAAAATACAAAAGTCCATCCAGTTCAACCATTAAAATAAAAATAAGTTATAATCCTACATCCACAGTTGATCCAGAGGAAGGCAAAAAACCCAGCAAAGCATGATCCAATTTGCTCCTGCAGGGAAAAAAATTCCTTCCTGATCCCCCGAGAGGCAATCGGATATTCCCTGGATCAACTTTACTTAGAAATGTTATATCCAGTTATATTCTGTGTATCTAGGAAAGAATCCAGGACTTTTTAAAGCAATCCACTGAGGCTGGCCAGCAACCAACTCTTGAGGGAGTCTATTCTACATTTCACAGCTCTTACTGTGAAGAAACCTTTCCGTATTTGGAAATTAAATTTCTTTTCCTCCAGACGTAAAGAGTGCCCCCTTTGTCCTCTGTGATGACCTCAGGGAAAAAATAGCTCTACACCGAGTTCACTCGGATATGAACCACTGATGTTATATTTATACTGTGTATCTAGGAAAGAATCCAGGACTCCCTTATGTATTTATCCATGAGCTGGATCATATCCCCCCTTATGTATTATACATGGAGATCATGAATCCACCCCCCTTATGTATTTATACATGGAGATCATATCCCCCCTTATGTATTATACATGGAGATCATATCCCCCCCTTATGTATTATTATACATGGTGATCATATCCCCCCTTATGTATTATACATGGAGATCATCCCCCCTTATGTATTATACATGGAGATCATATCCCCCCTTATGTATTTATACATGGAGATCATATCCCCCCTTATGTATTATACATGGTGATCATATCCCCCCTTATGTATTATACATGGAGATCATATCCCCCCTTATGTATTGATCATACATGGTATTATCATATCCCCCCTTATGTATTATACATGGTGATCATATCCCCCCTTATGTATTATACATGGAGATCATATCCCCCCTTATGTATTATACATGGTGATCATATCCCCCCTTATGTATTATACATGGTGATCATATCCCCCCTTATGTATTTACATATCATAATCCCCCTTATGTATTATACATGGTGATCACCCCCCTTATGTATATTATACATGGTGATCATATCCCCCCTTATGTATTATACATGGAGATCATATCCCCCCTTATGTATTTTACATGGAGATCATATCCCCCCTTATGTATTATACATGGAGATCATATCCCCCCTTATGTATTATACATGGAGATCATATCCCCCCTTATGTATTATACATGGTGATCATATCCCCCTTATGTATTATACATGGAGATCATATCCCCCCTTATGTATTATACATGGAGATCATATCCCCCCTTATGTATTATACATGGTGATCATATCCCCCCTTATGTTATTATACATGGTGATCATATCCCCCTTATGTATTATACATGGAGATCATATCCCCCCTTATGTATTATACATGGAGATCATATCCCCCCTTATGTATTATACATGGAGATCATATCCCCCTTATGTATTATACATGGTGATCATATCCCCCCTTATGTATTATACATGGAGATCATATCTCCCCTTATGTATTATACATGGAGATCATATCCCCCCTTATGTATTATACATGGAGATCATATCCCCCCTTATGTATTATACATGGAGATCATATCCCCCTTATGTATTATACATGGAAGATCATATCCCCCCTTATGTATTATACATGGAGATCATATCCCCCCTTATGTATTATACATGGAGATCATATCCCCCCTTATGTATTATACATGGAGATCATATCCCCCCTTATGTATTATACATGGAGATCATATCCCCCCTTATGTATTATACATGGAGATCATATCCCCCCATGTATTATACATGGTGATCATATCCCCCCTTATGTATTATAGATGGTGATCATATCCCCCCTTATGTATTATACATGGTGATCATATCCCCCCTTATGTATTATACATGTTGATCATATCCCCCTTATGTATTATACATGTTGATCATCATCCCCCCTTATGTATTATACATGGTGATCATATCCCCCCCTTATGTATTATACATGGAGATCATATCCATCCTTATGTATTATACATGGAGATCATATCCCCCCTTATGTATTATACATGGAGATCATATCCCCCTTATGTATTATACATGGAGATCATCCCCCCCTTATTATTATACATGGTGATCATATCCCCCCTTATGTATTATACATGGTGATCATATCCCCCCTTATGTATTATACATGGAGATCATATCCCCTTTAGTATTATACATGGAGATCATATCCCCCTTATGTATTATACATGGAGATCATATCCCCCCTTATGTATTATACACGGAGATCATATCCCCCTTATGTATTATACATGGTGATCATATCCCCCCTTATGTATTATACATGGAGATCATATCCCCCCTTATGTATTATACATGGAGATCATATCCATCCTTATGTATTATACATGGAGATCACATCCCCCCTTATGTATTATACATGGTGATCATATCCCCCCTTATGTATTATACATGGTGATCATATCCCCTTTAGTATTATACATGGAGATCATATCCCCCCTTATGTATTATACATGGAGATCATATCCCCCTTATGTATTATACATGGAGATCATATCCCCCCCTTATGTATTATACACGGAGATCATATCCCCCTTATCTATTATACATGTTGATCATATCCCCCTTAATCTCCTCTTCTCAAGAGAGAATAAATTCAGTTCCTCTAATCTTTCCTCATAGCGGAGCTCCTCCATGCCTCTTATCATTTTGGTTGCCCTTCTCAGTACTTTCTCCAGTTCCCCAATGTTCTTTTTGTGAATTGGTGCCCAAAACTGAATTGCATATTCCAGATGAGGTATTACGAATGATTTGTACCGGGGGAAATGATATCTCTCTCTCTCTCTGGAGTCTATACCTCTTTTATTACAAGAGAGGATTTTGCTCACTTTAGAAGCCGCAGCTTGGCATTGCATGCCATTATTAAGCTTGTGATCTACCAGAACCCCCAGATCCTTCTCCACCATTGATCCCCCCAGTTGTACCCCCCTAGTATGTATGATGCATGCATATTCTTAGCCCCCAAGTGCAGAACCTTATATTTATCAACATTAAACCTCATTTGCCACATAGTTGCCCAATTACACAGAGCATTGAGGTCGGCTTGTAAGTTGGAGACATCCTGTAAGGACGTTATTCCACTGCACAGCTTGGTGTCATCTGCAAAGACTGAAATGGGATTTATAATCCCAGACCCTATATTGTTTATAAATATATTAAAAAGTAAGGGTCCCAAACTGAACCTTGGGGTACACCACTGATGACCCTAGACCATTCAGAGTATGAATCATTAACCACTACTCTCTGAATACCGTCTTTTAGCCAGTTTTCTATCCATTTACATATAGATTTTTCCAAGCCTGTAGACTTTATCTTACACATTAGCTGTGTGTGGGGAACTGTGTTAAACGCTTTTGCAAAATCCAAGTATACCACGTCCACCGCCACCCCTCTGTCCAAGTATACCACGTCCACCGCCACCCCTCTGTCCAAGTATACCACGTCCACCGCAACCCCTCTGTCCAAGTATACCACGTCTACCACCACAGATCAACAGAATTGATTAAGCACATGCAGGAAGATCTTTTCACTGCAGGTCCTCGGTTACAACTCCTCCTCCAGCAAGCAGAACAGTGATCAGCACAGTAGTGGCATCACCAAATCTCATTCCAAATGTGGTGAGACCAGGGGTCTCCAAACTTTCTTAACAAAGCGCCAGTTTATTGTCTGTTAGACTTAGGTGGGCCGGACTGTGACCATTGGGAGTAGAAAAGGTCCCAACGTCAGTGGGAATGAGTAATGCCCCATCTTTGGTATCATTGGGAGGAATTGTGCAACATAATTGGTGTCATTGGACTCAATTGTAGCTGTCATTGAGAGGAATTAGGCTCCATTATTGGTGTCATTGGGCCACATTGTTAGTGTCGTTGGGAGGAATTGTGCCCCATCTTTGGTGTCGTTGGGGAGGAATTGTGCCCCGTGTTTGATGTCATTGGGCAGAATTCTGCCCCTTCATTGGTATTAGTGGGGAATTACACCCCATTGTTAGTATTAGTGGATGAAAAATATTGCTTCAAGGGCCGGATAAAAGCAAGCAAAGGGCCGCAGTTTGGAGACTACTGCCTTAGATGATATCGTAATGCAGATATACTGTACAGTTATGAGGATACACAACTGGAGTGGTAGGCAAGGGAAATTCACTCCTAGCAGGAGTGCCTTGGCACAGGGAGTGCACTGCCAATTTTGATGAAGGATTTGGGACAAAGGTAGATTTCTCAGGGTAATGCCTAGGCACATTGAACATTTTTAATTAGTCACTATAGCATAGCAAGTCTTCCCCTTTTGAGTTCAGGTCATAAAAGGACTGATTTACTAAAACTGGAGAATGCAAAATCAGGTGCGGCTGTGCAAAGAAACCAATCAGCTTCCAGGTTTTATTGTCAAAGCTTAATTGTACAAGCTGACGTTAAAAGCTGATTGGCTAACATGCACAGCTGCACCAGATGTGGTACACTCCAGTTTTAGTAAATCAACCCCAAATGGTCAAGATCAAGTTTTACTACCTTGTGAGTCACTGACCCAGAACAGGCATGCAGCCAATGGAGGCT